TCAAAGTGAACCCAATCTCAACTGACTTTGAACTCCCACAAGAGTCACTATCCTTCACTGTCTCTGAACTGCTGGGTTCCCAATACATACATCAAGATAGTCTCTGGGCCGCTAGGGTCCTCAGGGTTTTTTTTAACCAGAGGATCCCAGAGGCTGGGCAGCCCCACATGCCAACTTCCAAAAAAGTCTTACCCTAAGACCACTCAGCAGATGGTCCTAATAGTGAGTTGCACTCACATCAAACCATGGGTAATGTTCTGCCCTTTCCTCTGAAACCCTATTTGCACAATGACAAAATCTTACAAGTATGGCGCATATTTCATCATTAGCCAACAGGTCATGGGGCCCTTTTGTCCATTAAAAAAAAATAAAAGGCTAAACTGAGACGTATGCTAAATGAGAGCCAAAGTATTTTGAAAAGTTATAACGAATTCTTATGAAAGAAATTATATTATGCATAATATAAACATCTGTATTTAAGGAAGATAATGGTTTAGCTCCAGGAGATAATAGCTAAGCAGTGATGACTTAAGCAAATGTTATATAATTAATGGAAATAAAAATTATATACTATTACAGTTAAGGGATGCTTGGGAGAATGGGACAGGAGGTAACTCATATCAACAGACTCAGCGCACTAAAGAGAATTAAAGCTTCCATGAAACAGACTTCCCCAAAGAGGAAAACTACAAAAAGATCAAACTTCCTGAGGTTCAAAGATGTTAAATTCTACCATTTAAGCCCCATTACACATATAGTTACTGGCAATAGCCATTTCTTACCTTCAACAGCGTCAATTCACCTCTTAAACTGAGATATTTAAAGGCAGGCTGCTGGCCTGGTGTCTTGGATGGCAGATCACAGAGTTCCAAAGCCCTTAAGACGCTGTAGCACTAGTTCTTACTAAGTCGTAATTAACTTCATCGGGAGTTACAGGATAGCAGCTTAGAACAGAATTTGGCTGAACATTTTTAGTATTCTTCCACTTGGTAATTACTACTTCAATGGGAATTTCAAGTAAGAAACAGAGGGCAGAATTCGGACCACAAAGAGAAGTATATCAAGTAACTGGCTCAATTTATAATGCCAATAACAGAGTGTATTAAAATTTCCCATGAAACATCCCCATTAATGCATCAATTCCATTGTGAGTGTAAACTGAACCCCAAACTGATTACCCAGGTTCTGTACTAAGTCCCCATGAAGGGCAATGTGTAGAGGTGAATATGGCTGGGGAATGGCTCCATATACCAGATAACCACCCTAGAAGGGCAATTATGTAAAAGCCAAGTAAAGAGCTGGACACTGTTGGACAGTTTAACCACATAATAAACTCTTAGGAGCCATCACAGCTCCCGTCTGGGCATTAAATATCTGAAGAATAAGATTAGGCCACTAAGATTTGGGCTTGTGCTTCAAAATGAAAATCCAATGCTAAGTTCAGAATTATACATATAATGATAGTTACACATTACAAAACTTCAAATTATACAATATACAACTTTTCACTACCATTAATTGTGGAACATAACATTTCCTGAAACTCTATCATAATTCTCCTTCAAAAGTGTTTATATTGTACATGACCTAATTTTTATCATAAAAACTGAGACTTAATTTTTTTGGCTTGCTTACTTTAAATTATAGTATTTAGTTGGAAACTAATTTTAGGGTATTATCAATTTGACATTTGAGTTTAAAGTACAATGAAAAAATACAAACTTATGCAGAGTATAGAAAGATTATATTTTTAAAATGCATTCTCTTCTTTGCTACCTGTGTTCCTCTAAGTAATTCACCTGAGGCACTTAAGAAAAGACTTAATACATTTCCTGAGGGCCAATCCACAATCCCCTTGATGTGGTGTCTGGCCAAACTTTCAATTGAAGGCTATTAACACCACTTCTCCAACCAGCCTTAAGCTAACTCTCCCCCGTCCTCAAGTCTTGAAGTTCACCAACCCCCAGCAGCCCCCATTTCTGGGTGGCCATAGCATTGAGAAACAAAAGAAAAATCATAGCAACATGCCCTACCAAGTAAAGCAGACTGCACTCCATAGGCCAGCCCACTCATCAATGCACCATGTTTGTTAACATTCTGAAAGACATTTGTGCAGAGAACAAATTGACGGAGCTCATGTTTATATCAGAAATCTCAGAAATGGCAGGGGATTTATTCGTGGAATCTTAACACCCATTCAGACTGTCATAAAACACAAAGGACCAGATTCAATAAAAACTCTGTCCAACTTCCACAACACTAAAGTCTGTGCGAGCCTTCAAAACAAAATCAATTTTTCCAGCTTCGCAAAGGGCTGTTCAGACTTCGGTAGCATGGAAGCCAGCTGGGGCATTTCCTAACTCATCCCCTAAATTAGTTTCAAAAGTAGTTTTGAAGACCACATTTGATCAGAAGAATTTGCACGCTTTCCTCTCTCTCACTCTCTCCCTTTCTCCTCTTTTTCCCCCTTTTTAAAAAACACATTTCATAGTACATCACATGGAGAGCAAACAACAGAACTGCAGCATATGTCTCATGCAGTTAAAAGCTTCAAAACTGGCCTGTAAAACGGAATTCTTTGGTACACAGTGAAAAAATATTTTTTGATTCCATAATCCATACTGCAGGAAAGTTGGGTGTAATCATTTTTAAAAGTTGCTGTGTCCATGGACAGCTGTTCTTCATACATACTGAGAATGTTTCCTTTACATTCCTAAGGACATGAGAGTTTGACAGCAAGCCAATACCTTTGGAAATGGTGAAAGCTAAACACACCCCATACTGATGCTTTTACTCTCCCAACAAACTTTCTCCCACAACTAAAATGTTAAAACTTTTACCCCACAGCCCACATTCTGAGATTAGTCCAATAACTAATGTTCTGTCCAAGTAAAATACATTTTGTCATAGCTTGAAAATGTTACCTTTCACAGAAGTATAGTATTTCTGACCAGCAGGGAACATATGTCAACATTATCTATTATTACCCAATGTCAGGACCAAAAAGGGAAGGTGGGTGGTGGATGTTAATAACGACTTAAGCGATTTCTAAAAGAGGCATTTGAGAAGTACAAAGCCAGAAGTTTCAAATGTTTTGTCTTATTTTCGCTGTGTCAGCAACCTGCCCCCCCACAAGAACAAACCTAATGCTGCCTCCGACTTGACGCCTAGTTCTCTTTTCAATTTTAGCCAACGCTTTGCTAAGCTGGAAAGTTTGAAAAATACCCTAGAAAACTTCTCCACCAGAAAATGAAAAACAAAAACATATGACCAGCAATGATGAAAGCAACTCCCACTCGCTAAGAAAAAGATTTTCAATCACAGAAGCACACAGCTTTTGGATTTGAACATTTATTTTCATTTTTCAAGCTACTTGTCTGGTGTTTAGATTTGGGAGTTGGGTTTCTTGTTGGACATTGGAAGAGCCAGGGGAAATGCTGGTTGGGAGTGTAATTGTATTTAAGCAGTTTTAACAAAGGTAAGCAGAAAGCATTCTCCTCAACCAACAAGGCTACAGGGGAGACAACTGCTCATTCTCAGTTAAATACGGATTCCCCTGCAGAAGGAGTGGAAGGACACCTTCCATAACTGACCAGAGGAGGATATGTGTGTGTCTCTTGTCCTTGCTAACATTGGATCAAGATGTAGCACATAACATCGTGTGAACCTGTGGTTCACCATGCCCCTAACCTGGGCAGCCATGACCAGGAACTGAAAACAGACTTTGAGGCACCATGACTGGGAACAATCAAGTTTTTGTTGTTTCCGTGGGCCGTGTGGTTGTATGCAGTGTTTCCCAAGGAAAAGAGACTTGAGTTCCACTTCTCCACATGAACATCTTGGGGAAGAGATTACTTTGGGTCAGGGATCAAGACTTCTGTCCTGGTTCAGGCCCAGAACAGGAAGTATTGGAGTAATATGTCCCTGGAGTCCTGGAGATTTGTGTAGTTTCCCTCAGGGACTTAGTGTCTCGGGGTCCTGGGCATATTGGAAAGTAGGTTCTCACTCACTTTTCTCTTTGGTTGACTCAAAAATGAATCCTTCCCTGTGAAGAAATCGTTCAGGAGAGATTATAGAGTAAAACCTTTTAAATAAATTCCTCATGATAAAGAGACTCTTACAACTACAGAAAACTCACACCATGGCACAGCATGTGCCACAGACTGGAGGAAGGCGGCAGGGCTTACTGTTTTGACTTTTGGAGGAAGTTATCCTAATTTGTTCTTCCTCATCTCACTCAGCTTCTGAGGACAGAAGTCATAGAATGATAGGTTCCTTCTAGATACCAGTAAGACCAAAAGGAGATCTTAATTACTTATGTAGTCTACATTGCTACCCAAACAGTATTTTAATTGCTAAATGGCGGAAGTTTATATTCATCCCATAATTGAATGGTACATCTAAAATGATCAAATTACAGGGGATTTTCTGCTCTCTGTGTACGGTGCTGTCGCCCAAGGCACCAAGCAGAAGAGAGTGCTTTGAGGCAATGTTTCCAGCACTGTGGGAGAGATGGAATGCCCTCAGTTCCTTCAGTTCATCAGTCCTTGTTCACCTACTCCTCTTGGGCCCATATTGGGTTAGGAGTTTGGTTTTATTCATGGTAGAGGATACAGTTAACTGGCCACCTTTCATTTAGCACATGCCTCCTGTGAACTTCCACCTGAGATGAAAAACCGCAGTAGATGTTGTATAAAAATGGTGCTAACTTAAACATACAGAGTGTCTTTTAGCAGAATCATTAAATGTTGAGATGGAAAAGAACCTTAAAGGTTTAGCCTCCTTAGTTTTAAAGTACAGAATGGAAGCCCAGAGACAAATTGCCCAGAGGAGAATTTGCGGTCACACACCTTGGCAGATGCCCTGATTCCACTCCATTTTGAAATGATATTTTGGAAAACTAAGTGACGGTATTGGAAGCCTGGATCCTGGTCCCCTCTGGGGTGGAGGGAGTTGGGTAGTGATTAGAAAGGGCATGAGGGAATTTCTGACATGCTGACCTCTTGATCAAGTTGCTGTTCACATGAGCTTCTTCACCAATGATTTGGGCACTTTTCTGCAAGTATGTTACCCTTCGATTAAAAAAAGAGAGAAGCAAAAGAAAGAAAAATAATTAAATACAGTTTTAAAATTGTGTGCACATATAATTGCCACTTCTATTTAAAACATCCTTAGATATTAAATTTAAAATAAAATTAAATACTATCTACTAAGAAGGCTGACAGGTTATCATTCCAGCTCAAACACAGGAAAATAGGAATCTTAATAGAGGAAATAGTAACACATCTTCAAAATAATAATAATTTTCATTTGTAATGTGCTGACCAGGCTATGCAATATTTTATTATTTCATTTTTCTTGATCTTAAAGCACCTGTTCTCTAAGGAGAAAATTTATTTGTTTCATCATTTCATAACTATAAAAACTAAAATTCAGCGAGATTTAGTAACTTGACTAATGACTAGTAGCTGGTATCACAGGAAGGAGAAACTGGACAATTTGACCCCTTCCTAACTGAGGCAATCTCTCTACTACAACATGTAGCCAGTAATAAACGTATCTTGCTTTTGTGGGGAGGTAGGATATTTTCATTAATTCCACCCAAATATGTATTAAAGATTAGGCACTTCAGAATTACAAACATGAAATGGAAACCTATCTTCAAGAAATCTGTTTTTTCACGAGGAAGTGAAACAGCTTAGTTTTTAAGATATAAGTTCATTCACCAAAAATTCATCTTATGGGCCAATTTTGTCTTCACTTGCGTTTTGAGATGGCCAAAGTCTAAGAAAAGCTGAAGAAGCATTTTAGGCTGAAATTGCCGAGAATCAAGTTCCTTTTTGAGGCTAGAAACTTTTTTAGTGGTGGAAGTGGAGAAAGATTTGATTGACAGGTTGACATTTTAATTGTTTTTCTCTGCTGGTACATGTCTCACAAATAGATTTTATACTTTATAAAGAGGTTTACAGACATAATTGAGAATATCAAAATGTATTATTTTTTTTTTTACAATTTGAAATCTAAAATACATAATATCTACCGCACTCCATATTAAATTTTGCAAAAGAAAAAAATAACAGTTTGGAAAAGACAAGATTAAAGGATGAAATTATGTGTAGGCATTTTTCCTACAGATGTCATCTGAGCAGAAAACCGGGATGAGCTTGGGAAAATTTGCCAGTGGTGAGCACATTAATTTGTATTATACCCTCCTGGGTGAATGGGTTATGTGTCTGCTTCAGAGTTATCATTGAACCTTTTACTGGTTAATATTATCACAATTCTTCCTTTTTACGTTGGCCTACGATTGACGGATGACATTTGGCTGAATTTGGATTGAGGGTTAATACTCCATTTAAGACTGCAACTTTTGGGCTCTCTTTTTCAATTTCTTAGAAACTTTTTGCGAAGAATAGTAAAACATATGATGGATCCAAATACAGCTAGCTAAAAGCAGGCAGGAAAAGAATTATGCCAAATTAATACAACTGAATCAGGGCATTGTAGAATTTAGCCAATTCCTTTGGACCCTATTATTACCAATTTGGAGCACCACACAGTTACTATGTTTAAATTTTACAAAAGAGGTAACTGTGAGATTTGAAAATACCAAACTGATAAGCTACAAACAAATTTAGTATGTGAATAATACAATATTTCTGAAGAAAAAGACACTAAAAAGTCTAAAATTCATTACATGTTTGACTCAGCAATTCCACTTCTAGAAATATGCTCTAAGGAAATAATCAGGCATGTGAGCAAATATTTGGCTACATGGAACACTTATGCCAACCATATTTATAATCTTGAAAAGATTGGAAACAACCTTAATGCTCAACACTAGGGGATTGATTAAATAAATAACAGCGTGGCCAAGACAAAGAGCGTTATGAAGGACTATTTAATGACACTGAAATGTATCCAATAGACATTCTTATGTGAATAGAGATTTTAAAGGTTACAGTAAGATTTGCACTCTTTTTAAATGTGTGCATAAACATGCAGGGGTGTCATGCCTAAAAGGATGTGCACCAAAATGTTAACGATGGTGATGTTCTTAAGTTGTGAGATAAGCACGGTCTCTAATTTTCTTCATGTTATTTATCTGCGCTTCCTAAATTTCCTATAATGTCCATGACTTGCTTTAGTTAAGAGAAAAAGAATATAGATTTTTTCAGTAGAAAGAAATGCCCACCACCATTCTATAGGAGTATTTGTCAATGCAACAAAAGCAATAGATGCTATAGGCCCATTATTTATCTTAGGTTCTTTTCCATTCAGTGTGAAAACCCCTTTCCAACAAAAATGAAAGCAACAAAATATAATATTTGTTTTTCATTACTCTACTTTTCTGTGGCCATCCTATAATATTAAATATTAAAATGGTCTGAGGGCAATATTCAACAGTATCAATTTAACATAGCAGAGTTGTTCAGTGGGCTATAGTCTTGATATTTAATCTGCTATTATGAGCTTATAAAATCTTTTGGTGTCTCACTTTAATTACTAACAAAAGGGGGACAGGTTGTGAGTCATACTCAGCTCTTTGAAGAATATGAGGCCAATCAAACCGAAAAGATGCTTTAATTTTGTTTGGTCATAGTTCCTGCTTCAGAATAGGATTAAAAATAAATATAGAGAAAGGGTTGAAGAAAATGAGTCACCTAATTTACATCTAACATAATGCAAACAAGTATTTCTTTAATAGGTGTTCAATACCTAATGCTCAATTGTAGCAACTTAGAAGCAACTTCTTAATTGGAAATCTTAGCATTTCTAATCTTGCTGCAGATTTTTTACCTTGTCAACTTAGAATTCATCTGTTTTTGAAAAAGAAAAATCTTTTACTTGGAGACAAAGGTAAGCCACAATACACCTCAAACTAATTAAAGACAAATCTTTTCTGGAACAATGGTATAAAGAAAAAGGCAAATTATATTTTATAACTCAGACAAAACAGTCGTCCACCAAAAGAATATTACCTTCTTTTAATTATTAGAATAAATCATTCCATGGAAAACTGTTTGGCACGCAGTGAAGATAAGATGATGATAAATATAATACAAAACAATAAAAGGAGATAGATTCGCTCCGTATTCAAGCAATCTCGTCCTTGCTGCAAGTAAAACCCTTGAGGGACCACATACCAAGAGGCACCCCAAAGGCCTCAAAATGCCTATGGTACTTCACATAAGACCTGAATATAACACAGTTCTATTGAGGTTGACCCAATTTAATCTTCAGTAACTGGTTGGTTGTAGTATTCCAACTAAAATAAAACATTTGAAACTCTTGGCTCAAAAAATTTTAGCTGTTAGGAGAAAATATGTGGTAGGTATTTTATTCCTTAAGATGGGTTAGGTCAGCATGGAACCGGTAGTTTGTATTTGGCCAGGTAGGGTAATGCACATTAGGGGATAGAAAAATAAGAATGAGTGCAACCTGGGTTGCTGCTCAAGTTCTGTAAAGGAGAAGCCTCTTTTCTTCCAATGAAGAGTGCGGCACTGAAACCTAGGTAAGTGTCTAGATGTTTTCCATGTCTTTGGTTTGGAGCTCCACAACAGATACTTGGAAACTACACTTGCAAGAACTCTGGTTACTTTGTGTAGCAGAAGGACATTTAATTAAAAAAAAAAAAAAGTCACAAAACCTAATAAGTCATTATTATTTACAGGCCAATTGAGCAGCTACCCACTGTTCATCATGATCCTCAGATGAAGTCTGTCTCCATAGACAGATCTACACAATCTATGACAAGATTTTTCTGGCAGTTCTGGGAGAACCACTCACGTCTCACCTTTCCCAAGAGTAGATTTGTTATGGTGAATGGATCATCATTCCTATAAAGTTCTATCTAACTTCCTATAAAGTTCTATCTTCAGCCACACCTTCCAGCGGCACCCTTAGCTCTAAAAAATAGTGCATCGCCCTGGGGAGAATCACCTAAAGAGACATGTTTCCTATACTGGCAATTTAATCCCCTCTAAATTTCTGTTTTGGTCTCCTCCAAATAATGGCACACCTCTCTTTATCCTGTTTTTTGTTTGTTTGTTTGTTTGTTTGTTTTGTTGTTTTTCCAAGACAGAGTGTCACTCTGTTGCCCAAACTGAAGTGCGGTGGTACAATTTCAGCTCACTGCAACCTCCACCTCCAGGGTTCAAGCTATTCTCGTGCCTCAGCCTCCTGATTAACTGGGACTACAGGCATATGCCACTACACTCAGCTAATTTTTTATATTTTTCGTAGAGGTGGGCTTCACATGTTAGCCAGGGTGGTCTTGATCTCCTGACCTTGTGATCCACCTGTCTGGGCCTCCCAAAGTGCCGGGATTACAGGCGAGAGCCACCGTGGCCGGTCTCTTTATTCTTAAATATATTAATCTTGACTAGAACTCTATCCACGAACCCACCACCCAGTTAGGCAGGGTACTTGATGCCACATGATTCTTCTGATGGTCTCTAGAAGACTATGGAATATTTCTCCTGCAGCAGAAAATCCCAGCCGTCTTGGACCACAGGGCTAGCTTAGTGAACTTTGCCTCATTCTCCTAAGTGACTGGGATTCACAATACAACATAAAAACATAGACGCATGAGAAATACGAAATTTCTAATAATAACCATGGGTTGCCTCGAAAAATCAAGAGTGTAACATTTGATACTGAACAGCACATGTTTCTAGTCTGTCCAGATATAACAGTATTATAAGAAAGGGAAAAATATAAATATAGAGCTTATTTTTCAAGAATTTTGCCCATGAACATAATTGATAGGCAACAAAGTGTTAATTAGGGAGAATAGAGCTAAGAGAATGTTGGCGTTGTCTTCATTTCTGTTAATGCTTTTTTCAGATAAGCGAAATCTGTTTGTTTTTATAATGTTTATAGCTATCATTTGGTGCACACTATATGTCAGGAAGTTTGTATGTTTTTTACTTAATCTACATAATTGCCCTCCCTTATCCCCATTTTACGTGCAAGAAAATCAAGGTTCAGAAGAATAAAGTAACTTGTCCACTGCCAAAAATCTTGTAAGTGAGAGAGCCTGGTTCAACTGAGGTCCAGACTCTAATGCCCATGCACTGTAGCTTACAAACGAAGGCAGTGAAGAGGGAAAGGCAGGGTTGTACGAAAGAGCCTACCATTGCATGAGTAAACAAAATCTCAAAAGAGACTAAAAAATTGGACTCAAAACCCAAGCACAGGAAGAAAGATAGGCCTTAAAAGATGGAAATGTACTTCTCAGAGAAGAAGGAAAGACTACATTAAAAATTAAATGACCGGGTGTGGTGGCATGCACCTGTGGTCCCAGCCACTTGGGAGGCTGAGGCAGGAAGATCGCTTGAGGCCTGGTATTTGAGACTGTAGTACACTGTGATCATGCCTGTGAATAGCCACTGCACTCCACCCTGGGCAACATAGCAAGGTTCCATCAATAAAGAAAGAAAAGGAAGGCAGGGAGGGAGGAGAGGAAGGAAGGAGAGAAAAAGAAAGAGAGAGAAAGAAAAAAAGGAAAAAGAAAGAAGGAAAAAAAGATTAAATGGTTTTATATTTCAAAGTGACATTACCACTAAAATAATATTGGATGATCACCTAGAAGTTTAAAGTTTGTAGAGGTCTTTAAAGCTACTTACCTACATTGGACAGTATGCTAAAATTTTACTAAAGGGTGGAATTTATTGCAACAGGTCTGTATTGGACTTTAGCCAGCCACTTAGTTACTGATCTTATAATTAGTTGCACTCACTTTCCAGACAGCCCCACAGTGCAAGCCAGAAGCTCTGAGGACGGCATTCCTAAATCTATATAATACAGTCTTACAAGGTAATAACAATAGTAGCCACAATATGGAAAATGACAAGAGCTTTAGACAGAGAATTGAGCCCTAAATTCTAGCTGTAGATTTACTAACTAATCTTATGAGCCTAAGAAATGCACTTAACTTCTTTGTGACCCATATTTCTAGTCTGTGTAGGAGGAATTCATTTACTCAACAAATATTCATTGAGTGCCTCCAATGTTGCACTCTATACTCAATGTATCCACTCTCCTGGAACTGATATCCTAGTAAGAGGTAGCAGAGCCAGAAAATCACAAAGGAAGCAAATCCACAAAGTTTCAGAAAGTGACATGTAGAAAATAACACAGGAAAATGTGAGAGAATATGCAGCAAGGAGGTGCATTTTAAGCTTTTACCATATCAAGGCGAGAGATGATGGCTGGTTCTTGACAATGAATTGGATAGATTCAGGATAGCAAGAAGATAAGATTGACTGATGACTAGATGGAGGGTGGTGAAGGTCATAAGAACCAAGCAGAAGTTCCGGGAGTTTTTCTTTTCAACAACTGTGTAGATGAAGGTGGCATTTCCTGACCTGACGAAAAATGCTAAAGAATGAGCTTGAGAGTCAGTAAACAAGAGTTGGTTTTTAGATATTGCCCTACATAATCTTTGAGGTTGATTCCACTTGAAGAATGTTCCATGACTCTAGATTGTGATCACATAGGCATTTTGAGAAGTGAAATATGGTGTGAAATAAATTATATTCATGTCAATGAGTAACTGAAGCAGGATAGAAATGGTGGTCAAGAGAACCCAAGACATGTAGAAACTGTGTGTGAGTCCAGTTGGGAAAATTTATAAATGCAGTTGTCTAAGTCACTGAATATAAAGATCAGGAGTAATAGCACAAAGAAGAAGGTTGTTGGTCTAGAGTGAGTCATTGGAGACTAGCAATGGTGGTCTGGAGATCCATACATGATATGCAGAGCATGGCGTATACATCTGTCTGGAAGACAGCATGCAAAGCAAGAATGACAGGAACTACTCTCCGCCACTCATTTGAGCAAGCGATCTTGCCTCTGCCTCTTTATTCTCAAAGAGTAAATGAGTTAGGAGACTAGAGGAATATGCCTGGGTGGGTTTAGTGTGAAACCTGCCATTTTATTTTGTGAGGGCTGGACTTATCACCTCATAAGTGTGAAAACAGGTGTGAAAAACCCCTCCTCATCCTCATTACTTCTAGCAAATGAATTCTTTTTTAAAACCCTTTACTCACACAGTAAATGATTCTAAATATCTCATAGTCGTTATTCCCCTGCCTATTCCTCACCTTCTTCAAAAGAACAGTCTAAAACTCTTGCAATCTGGAATGTGGTGTCACAGTAAGTTTAGGGAAATATGGGGTTAATTGCTATGGAACACATTTTGATTTCACTTTTCTGCAAGTGACTACACTCAAAAATACTCATTTGCCAGCATCTGCTTCATAGGAAGATGCTCCTGAAATGTTGTTAGGCAGGATGGGGGACATGGCTGCCCCCTAAAAGGGAACCACATTGCTGGCGTCATGGCCGCTGACATAGGACAAAGGACCACCTGTTACTGTTCCCATTTACAACCAGAACCAGACACAACTAAGGATAACTTGAGGTGTTACAAGTAAAAGCATTTCATAAATTGTAGTATAATCTGCAAACATAAGATGTGATTATTATGTTCTTATTCAATCATGTAGAAATGGATGTTGGTTATAAGTGGGGAGAATTCCTATAGCTTTTTCATTCTTTAAGGCTGGATCACAAATGTACCATCACAACCAAAGCTAGTTTTAAACAATCTAAGCAATTACTGTTGCTGAGAAGAATGATGATTTGATATGTGTATTATCAATTTGACCATAATAGTTTCACTTCAGCACTAGATATTTGACATTCAACGGTGCTGAAAAAAGTAAAGGGCGGTTTTATCACACCTTTTTACATTTGGTAAGTGATAGGTCCCACCCAATTAAAGTTCCATTTTATTTTAAATGATAGATTTTACCAAAAACACCTCACCTAAACCCCTATCTCATCTATTTATGTCAAATTCTAACCTCTTCTTAAAACTACAGAAGCAGATATATCCACTAAAATTGTTCCCTGTCACACTTAGCTTTGCAATACACTTATCTAATAAATTTTATACCCTTCTTTCCTACCCACAAAAAACACTGGTTTCGCTATTTTTTTCCCTCTCCTCCTAATACCGTCCATTCTCTGATTCTATTATTTCTAAGTTCATGTACATACAGGTCTCCATTATGACAAGAAAATGTATTATTCAGTTCTTTAATCCATCCACCCTTAGTCATGTTTTTAAAATGCTTCCTTCTCCTCCTCCCTCTGTCAGAGCATATAAAAAAGACACACAGCATAAAGTATTTATAAAGTAAAAACAATATTTAGCATAACTGGCTTTGTTTGAACTGATGTGCAGAGCATCTGCAAATGCATGTCCTCCCTTACGGGTTGCTGCTTTCACATGATTTTCCTTTAATGTGAGCTTTGAAAGGCTAAGGACCCATTCTCCATTAAGTCTTTGGCACTGTAATTCTCCTGTCTAGGAAGCCACCGTATTGATGTCCCAATCATTAACTTTAGTATGTTGAGGAATCTCTTTACATACAGCTAATCATGTGCATTTTTAAGTCTTAGTTTATAAATGTATCTAGATACACTGACATAAGGCTGATGCACACCATCCTGCCTCCATATCTACATCACTAATTTGACAGCATGAAAGTGTTAATGCTAATTTTATTTTGAATTTTCTAATTAAACATTTCTTTCATCCTGAACAGAAAGATTTATCATAGATTATTAGCAAATTACTCATCTTCTACTATTAGAAATAGTTTTAAGAGACCATACCTATTGGGAGGAAATAAGCAACTCCAAGCACATGCAAATTGTTGCCACATTTTACAAGTTGCAAATTCTAGAAGTCAAGTCTATAGCAAGCTTTAAAAAAAAAAAAGCCCGCCGAATGCAGTGATGAAGACATTCAGATCAACAAGGCATTCTAAATTCACTGTCTTCCAGGTCCGAGTTAACATAGTGATTTCCACTCAAAGGACACTGGTCATCAAATCCAAAATCTGTTCAAAACAAAAGGACAAAAATGAGACTTAAACACAACTTAGAAATTCTATGGGTTTATTTAAGAAGTGCTATTTAAGCTGCAAAGGATTTCCTGTCATTCTTGTTTTAAATAATTTTATAATATTCTTTTGTTCTTGGGTTACTCTATATCCAAATAATCATGTATGTAAATGACTCAATACAACAGTGGATGCCCCGACAATGTAAACATTATTGTTTATCCAGAAGCATTATATGTTCATGCAAAAAAAAAAAAAAAAAGGCATTAAAAGCTTGTGGTCAGATCAAAAAACCACAACTGTAATTGTTTATTTATATAACTCACCATTACTCTGTAGTGTAAGTTTACATTTTTTAAAAATTTCTAAACAATGCTGAGTTAGTCTTAGAAGAGTGAAAAATGTATGGTTTGCCTAAATGATTAAAGACAACTTAGATCTACGCATACAGCAAAATGCTTTAATATGGAAATTATTCACTTTGCCCAGGCTTATAGTTTCCATTTTTATGCTGCCCTTGAAACTCCATGATAACAGGGCCATTCAGTGGAATTTCTGCATTTTTCTCTTTAGTTCAGGGCAGCTGGTTTCTTTCCTCTCGAAGCAGAAAGCTAAAGTATATTTATCACTCTAACAGTGACTCAAAACAAACAGGAAGTCTTCATCAGCCGGCTCCTGGGCATAGCTGATATTAGGTACTGGCAGAAAGGAAACAGAGACCTCATTCTCTGAGAGTCCGACAGAATGTACACGCAGATGCAGGCGATAACAAAGTTAGGGATGCTCCCAATGACCACCATGTTCTCCCAGGATTAAGTGCTCTTTGCAATGCTCGCCAGCTTTCAGAGTCTGTGAAAATTCCTCAGGAGTTTTCCTTTCCATTGCAGTGTGAAAGAGAAGTTTGAACTGGATACCACGAGCCTTACAATCCTTGTGAACCTATGCGCCAAAGGAAACCTGGGAGGGAGCTATTCTGGGAGATTTGGCTTTGATCTGGTTGCTAGGAAAAAGCCCTGCTTTTGTCTGGAAGTATTCTGAATGGCTCCTTCAGTCAGAATGAGGCCTGCAGGTCACTGTCTGAATTAAGTGAAGAGGATTTTTTTTTAACACTAAAATTGAAGTTGTCGCTGTATGCCATAATAAAGCTGGAGAGAGCGGACCGTGCTGCTGAGCAATGGCAACGGCTCTTTGCTACAACCTAAACTCCAAGGTATACTGTGAAAATCACTGAAGCGTGCTTGCAGATCAAATATATGCAAATATTCCTCAGTGGCACATATGTTCCTAGAGACCTTCGCCTTCACCTCCTTTTCAAATGAAACCTGTTTCAGATTCAAAGCCCACTTTGTTTTTATTAATACAAATGTTCACTACCAAACCATTTTTAACCTTACTAATAAATAGAGAGGTCATACAACTCACACCTAACTTTTTTCAGCCAAACCAAACTCCAAATGGATTGCACTGCAAACTACTGATACTAATCCAAAAGTATTAAGCAATACACTTTGGGGGTCTTTTCAATATTTTCTTTTTTATTTGTCAGCTAATCTCTTTGTTTATGGTAATGCATGTACCTTTGTATAAGGACTTTACAGCCATTATCTAATCTTCACAGATCCTGGTGAGGTAGAAAGGGAGCAAATCTTATCTCCATTCTACAGATGAGGAAACAGAGATGAAGGGAGGTTGAGTAACAAGCTCACATTTTAAGTGGTGCATTCTGTCCAGATGTAAAAAAAAAAAAAAAAAAGACAGTATGGCACAGGCTTTGTTTTTCCAGGAGGGAGGCTAGATTTTCACCCACCACCCATCTGTTCACTAGTCCCCTTAATAACCGGCATTTCCCAGTGACTGCACACTTTCCACACAATCTGTTGAGAAAACACGCAGCAAACTGACCTCCATAAGGATCAAACCCTTGACCTTGGCACCGGGTGCCCGTGAACTGAGCCACAGACTGAAAGCCTAATTGCCCCCAAGTAGAATGGGACCAATTGCTCCCCTTCTCAATCATTCTGGAAAAGAAAAGAAGGGGCTACTTGTCATGAATTTATCTAGTCTTGTTCTTCCTCAAGCTTGAAATGTATTTTACATTCCAAGCAAATCCTGAATTATGAGATATAAATACAAAAATAGCAGAGAGCTAAGAAGTAAACTACATAAATGAAAATTTAATTTTAAGAAAAGAAATAAATGAGGGGGAAGTATACAGGAGCTGGCACCTTTAGGACCACAGCATCATTGCTGGTATAAGTGGTTCTTCACTTGTATTTGTACCTGCAAATCTAGATGGTAAAGATGAGGAAAAGTTAACAATGAAACAGATTATTTTCCAAATAATATTAAATATCCTCTTTTAAAGACAGTAGAGGATTTTATTCCTTGGAAAAAGTTATAGTGAAAATATAATCAAAACCACTGGAGTATTAGGTAGATGCTACCTGTATTGATCAAGTGATAGAGGATTATCTTCCCAAAACAGGCTGTGGAAACAACTATGTGGAAGATATCGGAACACCTCCCAGAGGTTTCAGGAGCAGGAGGAAGACAGCCTAGCCTATCTTTTGGAATGTAAATTACCCTGCAGACCACTAGGCAAAAAACTCATGAAGCTCAAACCAGACATCCCTACCAAAAGATGCTCAAACTAGAAAACAGAAGTGTTTTCAGGATAACATAACTTCTCTCAGCCTACCTGTTAACTGACTCGACTTTCTTTTCAAACTCTGTATATAGTAGTAGATCTGTGAATTATCTATCCACGATCACTACAAAAATTTCTGAAATCTTTCACAGAAAACCACAAAGAAGATTTAGGTTTTAGTATCAACTTGATGGATTCTGAGCTGTCTCAATCCAGGACTACCAGTGTGTTGAGCCCAACTCTAACTGTAGGCAGGTACCGAATTGCTTTCCTGAAATGGCAACAGGCTAACAGTACCAATTAGTGAGACTGCACAATGGTTCTTCAGAAACTGCTGAAGACCAGCTCTGAAGACCCCTCCTGAGTAGGACCCAAACCCTAAGGCTTGCTATACCCATGCTTATTCACTGCTGCCTGTGCAAACGTTCCAGCAAGCCGGGAGGACTTGGCATTAATTTCTCAGTGTGTCGCCATGGCTAGAGCTAAGCAAGGGCCAAAAATGAATTAGGTAAATATAGGATGCTTCAGGCACAAATGCAGCAGGTGAATTTATTTGCAAATTACCTTTTTTTATTTTTCTCACTTAAGATTCTCTTTAGAGACATAGAAGATAACTTTATCATTTTTAAAGTAAAGAAAAGCAATATTTGGTTCAATATTTGGTTCATAGCCAATCATACAAAAGTACTTATTAAAAGAATCCTTTTTAAGTTATTATGCATTTATTACAGGATTATTGACTTCAGTGATGAAAATTGTATTGTTAGGGTTGGGTTGACTTAAGACAGTTTTTTTTTTTTTCCTGGAGATTTCTCTGTCATTTAATTGAGTCACCTTATTCCTTCTGCCTCAATACACAACTGTTCCTGTTATTTTTTGAATTAATTTGGATAAAAGCCTTCTGCAAAAGCCATCTTTCTGGATCCACAACCTCTGAGCATTTGTTAACTCATTACATTATACTAAAGTGAATCCACCCACTAGAAATTAGATAATCTATTCTGGTTTTAATATTTTTTGAAAGCTTACAAAGTGCTAATCACTAAAGCAGTGACTCCCAGCTCTTGTTTTGTGACAGCCTAAGGCATCTCCAATTACCTCATAGATCACGAAAAACAAAATTCCAAAAAAATTTCAGAAGAAAATTATAGTTGTTTTAATTTGAAATATAAATATCTGCCATGGACATAGGAAGTGTGTCATAGTGCGACTTGGTGGGCTGGATCCTTGTAAGAAAACAAACAACAATAGTCTATTGAAACTCCTCAAAGCTCAAAATCATTATGCTCTCCAAAAAAAAAAAAAAATAGAAAAAAAAGAAAGAAGAAATTTTATTTTATTTTTAGGAAATGAAATTCTAACATACACCTTATGACAGGCACAAAAAGGAACTAGGACAAAACCCATTCCAGGACATTTCCTGGAGGAGAATACAAATAAGGTGTGTCACACATTTTCATGAATAAAATAAACACGATAATATCTAATAACACCATTACACTATTCAGTGTGCTTAAATTACAGTTGTACTGAGAAATGAGAAAATCTCTGGAATAGGACCAGGATTGCATTTTAATTGTCCATTAGAAAAAGCAAAAAATAAAATCGCCTGCAATGATTTCCTTTCGAGATCATTCACCTTATTTTTGAAATACAAAATCAAAAACATATTGAGACGCATGGTGAGGCTGGGTAATAAACCCGAAGCAAACTGTCTCCTTTCCTCAGCTCAGGCTCAGCAGCTCCAGCAAGCCCACAGTGCCAGCTTGAGACTGGCAAGGCAACTAGCATTGCACAAAACAAAATCTTAATTTTTCAGTTCCGGCTGATTCCACTGAGAACATCTCTCTCCCCTCACCTTTTCTTTCTTTCTTTTTTTTTTTCTGAATTGAGGTCTTTCTATTTAGGGATGTGTTTCCATTATGTGAGATGTCCCCTAAGCCAATGAAGAACAATGATTATTTATTTTCACATTAAGATTCTTCTCCCAGGGCCATATTCCGTGAATGAATGGCGTGTAGGACACACCGCTAATAATAACATCCACCAACTATGCCAACACAAGTGCAAGAGAAGCACAGGGAAGCTAAGGCTAGCCAAAGGAATTCTCCCATACCTACAACGGCTGGCTCCTTCCAAGAAAGCTGTTGGGTCTGCTTGCTTATTGACTTGTGTATTTGCCAGGAAGGTATTCCTTTTACAAAGTAAAAATAAATAGCTCCTACAACTTCTCCCTCGTCTTGAAATCACCATTTCTACTAGAAAATAAACTTGTAAACTCCAACTGTTAAGATACTTGAGAACTCTACTAGATAAAACATACCAGA